CCAGGCCGGGATTCGAACCTCAACGGCCACGTCGAGGACTAAGGCCTCCTTAAAGAAGGTTGCTCCACCACGGCACCCCAACAAATCGATTTCTTTACAAGAAGAAAAAGGACAAATAGTGGGAGGAAACAGCAGCATGTAGTTAAGAATAAGGGTACGAATTGGCAAAGCTGAGAAATGACTTGACTACTCTTTACTATTATCAAGTATCCAAGTGTTTCAACCAAGCAGTGGTAATACGGCAACTGAAAGAGCATCAACAACTGGGATATTGCTTTTATCCATTGTAGGGGTGGTCCGATATGAAAATGAGGGCTGATATCTGATATTAATATTGCATCTAAGGCCAAAAACCAGTATTATATACATTTCAATGACGTGAATAAAAGACCACACTGCTGACGTTGCTTCAGTTAAAACACCCCCACAGTCCTCCACTGCATTACTGTCATATAAACCAGACACATGACCAAACCCCTCCCTAAAACACAAACATAAACAGCAACAAGATGGAAATAAACATCAGCCGTTAGTATCGGCCCAGTTTTACTTATTGTGCCGATGTGTTAAAAAATAACCAACATCAACAGATACAGATGTTGATGCCGATATATCGTGCATCCCTAGTTTATTAAAAAGAAAAGTTGAGGGATGAACAATATTAGGAAAATGTGCATTTTCAGTATCATTACTGAGTATTGCAAAAATAAAAACAAAAAATTGAAGGTACCAAGCAAAGGCAGGCCAAAAATATTATTGGCACGCAGATTTTCAGTGGGTAACACTTGAAATATAATAACCAAATAAACATTGCGTCTGAGGAGTTTGTTATTTTTGTGATATTGCACAAATTGATAGTGCAATGACAACTGCAATATGATACATTGAGCAACTCCAGTCTCATAACATTTATACCACAAATGTGCTTCACGGCTATCGGATTTCTTTTTAAGTTCAAGTTGTAAAAAGTATTCCAACATCTTGCACTCATGACTTCAACTATAGAAAATACTAATACAGGGGAAAAACAAAAAACAAAACAAAAAAATTGTAATATATTCAGGTTCTCTCTGAAGCGTCAGGACCTTTAAATAGAATAGTCCAACAACCACTATTTCCACAAACAGCAATTTGGGTGGGGGAAAAAAAAACTGTTTTTCTTTTAACTGTAGGCACTTTCCATATTAGGAGTGAGACTTAACTGGATAAACGTGAGAATTGGTAACCCTGAGTCAACACTCAAAACCCATGACATATTATCACACCTGTGTAAAGAACTGGGAGGATTTATCATTTGTTGTGAAAACACTGGACAGCATCACGTATTCAATGACATCTATGCATACAGGGACACCTGACACAGGTCAAAAATGTTGCTACAAGCAAAAAAAAAAAAACATTATATGGACTTGCTATGTCTGACATATGGCTATACACAAAGCTATTAGCCCTCATGTGTATGAACTTTATGAGAGATAATACCTTCAACTTACTCAAAAACACTGACACTTTAAGCTGTTTATGCTACATACCGCTTCATGAATATCCCCGTGATTTAAGGCCAGGAATATATGCAGCTATGAGCCTGCATGAAAACAGGAAAGCTGTGAATGCTAGCACAGGCACGGTGGTTTTCGCTTGCTAGCAAGTGTGACAGCAGACTCCTCCAGCGGCTAACACCGTCCTCTGACACAGCATCACCGCAGCCGTAGGGCGCTCTATACCGATAACTAGCGTTCGCTTCAAGTCAGAGACTGGAGGAGCTAACCAATTCACCGGCTAACCAGCTAACATTTACAAAACGCTAGCTTTCCCTTGCTCAACTAGCTTCCGTCATCCAAGAATCCCTGCAGACCTGATGCTAAAAGGAAGCGGAACACCGCGTTCGGGACAGTCTTGCGAGACAACGCAAACCAATACGAGATATTCATAAATTACCTGCGGTCACTTGTCAAGCTCTTCTCTTCCCCTCAGCTGCTTTACTGCATTAACAAGACGTTCATAATGGATTTGATTGACGGGTCTTGGACCAGATAAGGAGGCATGGAAACCAATTACGTATACTGACTGCTAGATTAGATGCGATAGGTCTGGTTCACCGCTACTCCCGATGTGGGGTGTGTGCAATCAGTTTCTGCCCCGCCCGCGCGGGTGAGCGGTGTAAATATAAACCACGCGCCACTTTTGAAGTGGAGGTGGGACATTGAAGAGGTGGAGTTGACCTGGATTGAGGGAAAACTGTCCACTGGGTGGCAGTGTTGCTCAATGAAACGCTTTATGTCTCAATTAGTGTTGCCAGATTGGAAAATCGGGCTTCTTATGAACACGTTGGGGTGAGAAAAACAGCTTTTTGGAGGGCTGTTAAAATGAGGGCTAGTTGTCATTGTGTGACAGAAGAGCAAAAAACTTTTACATTTTCACAAAATCCCGTGCTTTGCACTTATATTATTAATCTATTCTGAAATGCCTAAAATCTGTCAAGCATGACATCATCAGTGAATGGTTAATCAAATGTCACTCTGTACCAGCACTGTAAAACAGAAATCTCAATGCAACTTTTATAAGATTTAAAAGGACATGATAGCACCACAAAAAAACAATAGTCTCTCCCTGATCCAAGAGTTAAGTCCAAAAAACAAAGAGACAACCAAAAACCGCTGCTTTGGGGCGTGTTTTAACGTTGTGTTCGGGCTGGAAACAGTCAGTCAGATCTGGCAACCCTGGTCTCAAAGTACACAGCAATGGCTGATAACTCAGGGCTGACTGGAACTCCGCTGGGGATAGCAATAGCCGTAATCTCAAGCTTTATTAATGGCTCGACATTTGTGCTTCAGAAAAAGGGAATACTGCGTTCTCGTGACAAAGGTAGGGGGGAAGAAGCAAGCATAGATAGTCTCGGAAAAATACGTGACAGTGGTGACACTACTAAACAAATGCATTATAAAGTTGAGTGCAATCTCAGGCAGCGCAGTCTGAGGTCATTCATGTCTTGCAGGGTGTTCGTACCTTACAGATGTGGTGTGGTGCAGTGGAACGCTGTGCAGTGAGTATGACATTAAGAATACTTTGTTCCTCAAACGCCTTTGTTTTCAGCTAAATGTGACAAAACACCCGTCTGCTTTCTCAGTGATCATTGGTCAAGTTGGGAATTTCCTGGCGTATAACCTGGCCCCTGCTGTGATTGTTACACCTTTAGGGGCCCTTGGAGTACTGTTTGGGTAAGCATCAGCCACGAGTGATGCTGGCCAAATTGGTGGTGGCAGCATCATACTGTGGTGATGTGTTTCCTCAGAGGGCACAGGGCAGCTGGAAATGTGAAAATGCAGTTCCTGTGTGCAGTTTGTGCCACACTGAATATGTGACTGGTGTTCAAAAGTAGCACATTACAAACGGGAATATTCATTAAGAGCACTATTTGTGTTTGTGGAGCCATATTTGCATACAGTTTCCTAAATAAAGAAGAAATAAATAGTTATTGTCAAAAGTATTGTCATCACGATAGTATCGCAAAATGTCATGCGATATTTTGCATGATGTCATAGAAGAAATAATGTTTCTTCTGCCTTATTGACCAGTTCTGTCTACTAGCAAAACAAATTGGGTTATCTGCTATCTAATTAGCTTGCTGTTATTTAAACTTAAACAATAGATGTGCCCGCCTTTACATCTATCAATGTGAAAAACTGGAATTGACAGAAAGGCCTTTGCGAGACCACTTGAACTCTGTGTTTGTAGTAATGTTCTCTTGGGATGCAGAGCAGTCCTGGCTTCTTGGATCCTGGAGGAGCGTCTAAACGTCCTGGGGAAGCTCGGCTGCATCATCTGCTGCTGCGGCTCCGTCGTGCTAATCATTCATGCCCCTAAAGCGGTGGCAACGTCCAGGCAGGAGCTTGAAGATGGACTGTCAGATCCAGGTGACGATTTCTACACCGAGTTACTAGGGCCATTGTAGATATAAGAAGACAAAGAGAATACATTTCTTCCAAAAAACTAATTTTTTTTTCTAGAAAGAACAAGAAAATGTCTGCACTTGAAAGTGGAAAAGGAGGAGATCTCTCCTGCCAACATCCATCACCATCTATAATATGTCTTTTAAGAATTTCAATTAATATGACTTAGAACATTTAATTACCCTTTGGGGTCAAATAAAGTATTTTTGAATTTGAAAAGTCAAAAATTAAAAAAAAAAAATATATATATATATAATTTTGAAATTTCTATTAGAAATTGCCTAGAAAATCACCTGGGAAATTTTGGAGTTTGAAAAGTTGAAATTTTGCTTTAAATTTTAGGTCAATCTCAGAAATCTTTTTGGAAAAAAAACTCTGAAATTTTGGAGTTTCAAAAGTCAGAGATTTTGAAACTCAAAAATCTCTACGGTTTTTCTCAAATTTATAAGATTAATCCCAAAGTTCTGACTTTAGAAAAGTCAAAATGTTTTCTTGCAAATGTTTGACCTTTGGATCAGAGAAATTTTCGTCTTTTCTAGAAAAAGAAACTGAGTTCAATCTCAAAATTTCTTAGTTTTTGGCAAAAATGTAATCCTCTTTTTTTCAATCTATAATGGACCTAATGTGCTGTCGTACATTTCTCTTTTTCACTTTTACTAACACTGTTTAATGAAACACGGCGGACAGTGTCACTCATCGTCTGCTCTTTCCTCCTGCAGTGTTTGTAACCTACATCCTGCTCGTGGTGCTGACCCTGGTCGCCCTGATCGTGTGGGTCGCTCCAGCTCATGGGACGTCCAACATCATGGTGTACGTCGCCATATGTTCGCTTCTGGGAAGCTTCACCGTCCCGAGCAGCAAAGGACTCGGCCTGGTGGCTCCTGATGTGTTCGGCGAAGGACAGCCAAGTGTCGGTGCCGTGGCGCTCTTCCTTGGCCTGCTGGGGGCGCTGGCGGTCAGCATACTGATCCAGTTCTTCTTCATCAATAAGGCCTTGGAGTGCTTCAGCTCCAACATATTTGAAGCGATATACTACGTGACGTTCACGTCCACCGTGATTTTCGCTTCTGCCCTTCTGTTCAAGGAGTGGATGGGACTCACGGTCACCGACGGCCTCGCCATGCTCTGTGGCCTGACAACGGTGTGCGTGGGAGTGATACTCCTTCGAATCTCCCAGGAAGCTGTGATTAACTGGAAGGAGAAAAAGGGACTGAAAAAGACAAACTGATTGTGCTACGGTGCTTTTTTTGTTGTTTTTGCAGGACATAGACTCTGTTGCTCTGCTCTACCTCCCCTTTAAGTGACCAAAGCTGTGAGATGAAACAGTCAGCCGTGACCTTTGACCACATAAGTGTGAGGAGGAAAGCATTGATTACATTGTGAGCATCTTAACGGATAGCGGGTGGGATTTGTTAGGGAACAAAATGGCGTTCTGTACAGGAATACTGAAGTGTAGGGACTTTATACTGTGCCTTGCAGAAGTGGTGATGTAACTAGAATTTTATTACATTTTGATAGAGCACAACTACAAACCTCTATGCATTTTATCAGCTAGACCAATGTAGAATAACGCAGCATGAGGAAGAGGAAAAAATATGTTTTATGATCACACGTGACATACACTCCACCTCTCTAACTCAATGAATCATGATGGTGCCACTGCCATGTTTTACTAAGGGGGTGGCTATTTACACAAATAAAAATCAAAAGGTTGTGCCTTTTTATGAAACCCATACGGGTCTCTTGGAGGAGTGCACTGAGAAATCGGCTCAAATTTCCTTCGTTTTGGCAAATTGTCAATCGGTTGATACTTACAAGTGAAATAGAGCTGGACAATAGACCAATTATATATATATAGATATATATAGATATATATATGTACAATGTGATCAATATCAATACATAATACGTCTTTTAATAGAATTTTCAATAATGTCACTGAATTCTGATCCAGAACCGCACAGCATTCTGGGGGATGTAGGCCGAGGAAAGGCTTTAGCTGCTCAACCTCTCCCGGACTAGCTAAGCTAGGCCGGTGGCATCAACTAACTCACGCATTCTTTGGTTACCTGGCAACAACCATATTTTTTGCTTAAAAAAAATGGTTTGAAAATCATGCGTAATTTTCCTTCCACTTAAAGTAAGTTGGTCTGTCAAAGGTGATAAAAGTTCCTTTTAATACTAAATAGCAGAATTGGTATTCTGTTATTGACTCCTAGTTTTTCTGTTATAATAACATAAGCCATAATTATCCCTGTTATTCTAACTTTATCTGTCAATTCATTCCAAATTACTATTAAACTGCCTGCATCAGTCGTATCTAAACAAATCACTCTGCTTTGGTTCATCTACAGGGTTTCCCCACAGGGTAGTTAAGGCATTACCTACCCTTGGATTTGAACTGTGCCTTTTGAATTATTCAGAGTCATTTCAGCTGGTGATTCTTGAGCACCGGTGTTGCATAAAAGATGAAGAGCAACTGTATCGTTTCAGTCAGATGAAGGGATTTTTAAAGCTGATGGTTTACACTTTTATTTAATTTTATTACAATGTCGTATTTTTTTTGTAATCTTTAATGATTTTACATGTAATAAATTAAATGAAAAGCTGTCTCCTGTGGGATTTTCTTATTACAGTCTCAGCTGGATTTCTACATATGAAGTTATACCGTTTAAGTTGAAACGTTTAATGATTCATTTGAACATTCCTCTTTCCAGGGTGGAATGTTCTCACAACAAACAACTTTCCATTTTTTTTAAATGTTAACTCTGGATCCCTCTGGTTATAATTGTGCATACAAGGAAAATACTATACACATACCTCACCTACTAACTATTATTATATCCACTTGGTGCACTGATTCTCCTAGCAGCACAACAGATCCTCAGCGTGATTCCACAATTGTAGGTTCGAAAGCATAACTTTTAAGTCATTTGTTGTTGTTGTGATCAAAAAGCTCAGTTTGAACATACCAACATCTGAGAGTGACAGGTTGATATTTTCCTCCAGGCCTTGTCGGACTCGTCTTAACACATCCAGATAACTTGTATTTAATTATAAAGTTTTGAACTGATTATTTTGAGGGAGTATGTTTGTATGATTTTGATGAGGGAATGCCATTATTATACACTGCTCAAAAAAATAAAGGGAACACTCAAATAACACATCCTAGGTCTGAATGAATGAAATATTCTCATTGAATACTTTGTTCAGTACAAAGTTGAATGTGCTGACAACAAAATCACACAAAAATCATCAATGGAAATCAAATTTATTAACCAATGGAGGCCTGGATTTGGAGCCACACACAAAATTAAAGTGAAATGTTCCCTTTATTTTTTTGAACAGTATATGACATAATGTCTTTATGTCATATTTTTTTATAAACCTCAAAAAAGTCGATTTTGCATAACACCAACCTTTATAGCAGCCCTAAAATATATTCTCTTTATGGCCTCGTGTTCGTTTGAGCCGCCTCTTCGTTTCTTTGCCTAAGGTGTTAAAGCTTTTAAGTTGTTTTTACACTGATTCTGTCATTTTGTTGTAATGTAGAACCCAGTGGTGCCGGTGTAGTGTTTCCTGTCCGTCGGTAAGTGATCTCTGTGGTACTGGGTTTCAGCCTGCGGAGGGCACACGGTTCAACGGTCTCCGCTCTGCCCTGATAAGCAGAAGAAGAAGCTCGTGGTGCGGCAGTCCTCCAGTGGCCGCTATCGGTACCTGGTTGAAGAAGGAGGAAACATTATGTGACCGTCCAAAGCAGAGCCGAGACGCAGGCTGGCCAGTCGCTGTTCGCTTGTTTCAGAGGGGAAAAAATACAGCCGCCTTTGAGCAGGTAATTAAGGTGGGGACTTATCAAACTGCGCTGCTTGTCGCTAACAATTACTCCTGTGGCTTAGCTAGGAGTGCTGTGATGCTAATGGTAGCTAACGTGTTCAACTCGCTGTATCCACTCATTTGTAGATGAGTCAAATTATAGGTTAGGCGTATCAGAGCAACTACAGAAGCAGCTTATTGGTTGGTAATAGAGCCTTAATTATGACCCGAGCTTCCTCAGGTTAGCTTCCTATCAAGGTGCGCCCAACATTCCCATTAGAGGAATGCCACTTCCTGATTCCGAACTCCTGAAATAAGTTCATTTACATAGCAGCTGACCGAGTTTCACAAGGCTTTGTGTCTGTGGCAGCACAACACTCAGACAACCGGTTGGATATGCTCAGTCTCTCATGTCTTTGTATGGGATAAGGCAACTGAGGGACTATATGTTCTTCAACGCGCTGCGCCCTAAATGGATTTCTTCAACGCGTCAGGTTATGGTTTTCCGCTGTGTAATGTGTCCTGTGTCGCCGGTAGGTTCCCGCTGTAAGGGATGGACGTGAAGTCTGAGGAAACTGTGTTGTTGTTGTTGTTTCTTATTGTGCTTTGTCGACCCCCCCCCCCCTCCCCAATCCAGGTTGCCAGAACTGCTCCTTTGGTGAGCATCTTCCCTGCTTGGTGGTAGATGTGAAAAATCACTCCAACACATCCAGGATCACCATGGGTCAGGACCGGGGGAAGTACGATTTCTACATCGGCCTGGCTTTGGCCATCAGCTCCAGCATCTTCATCGGTGGAAGCTTCATCCTGAAGAAGAAAGGTCTTCTGAGGCTGGCTAAGAAGGGATCGATGCGGGCAGGTACCGGCCGCTCTCTTTCTGAACACCCAGATCACAACATATCTGATTGAATTTGCCAGCTTGCCCTTAAGGCACTCCCTGCCGCTGATGTGCATCGCTGACAGCCAAACCAGAAGTCGGACCAGTCAGGAAACTTGCTAATCCCTGCCCTGTGATTTACAGGCGTGTTTAAACCAGCTCCCTGGAGCAGGGTGTGTTCATGTGTGTTGTGTGTGTCACAGTGTCTTTTCAACTCATGGTAATCATTAATATCAATAGCTCCCTTGACCTTTTCCTCAGATTTGAAGGTTCTTCCTTAGGTTTGTTTCAATAATGGACTTTAGACAGCAAGTGTAATGAAGATTAGATGATATCTTAATGGTTCGCAGTGTCTAACAGCATTTGTGTAACATAAATGAACTATGAATTTTAAACGTTTTTTATAGTCAAACCTACAAAAGAGCAACACTTTTAGTGCAAGGATCATCTTGATTCTGTCTTTTTTTTTTGTCCAGGTCCCTGAAGAACTTAGGATCTAAACATAATCTTAATTACTGGTTTAGTCACTCTAGTTTTATGGAATGACTAATAATGTCGCAATATTCCATTGCGACATTAACATTTGCAATAATGTCACAGTGAAATATTGAGGCTTTTATTTGGAAGAGTATTTCTATGCCTTATTTTAAGAGAATTGGCGATCTAATGCAGACATCTGCAACATGGAGCTCTGAGTGTCTCTTTAGACCTTCCAAGGTTTAATAATAATAAATGTGACTAAAAATGCTAAAGAATCAATTGATTTTTTTAAATAAAGATGTAATAAATCTAGGTTTTAGGAGTTGATGTATATGTATGGAAATAATTGCACTGTATTTTTTTTACAATAGAATGCAATTAAAAGTATAAGTAATAATTTTTATTTCAGATATTCCCCAGATATCAAAATCCCATACAAGAAAAATGGCTCAATCCTCACGTTTTCCAAAATTTTCATGTTTTTGTGTATTTCAAAACCCAAAAATAAATAAAACGGGTTCTTTAAAAAATATGATTATTTAAATAGCAATGTAACATTTGCATCTCTAAAGTTTTATTTAGATGAACTGGAGCGAGGGCTGAAATGGCTCTTTAGATCGTAAAGGATGCCAACTCCTGATATGACTTATAAGACCCCATCCCCTTTTTTTAATGATGGGATCTGTAAGCTTTATTTTGAAAGGCCAGGCTGGTCCAGTGTGCAGCTATATGCTGTCCTGGTCCAGTGTGACCAGTCTGGTCAAGCAAATTGAAACCCAGTCTAGTAGTAATCTAATATGTAAGAATTTAAGTCTTCTATTTTGGGAAACTTACACAAATCACACAAAGTGCTATGGGTCAAGCAAAATGGCCGCTGTTCAAATAGATGGTTTTGGGGGGGGGGAAAAAACTTCTCAAAAAGTGAGTGGTGAGATCTGATGCCTCTTTATGATGATTTTCTTTTACTCGGTTCTTCTTAGATGTGAGGTTGCTTCTTGATTCATTCCTCTCTTATTTATTGATGCAGTAATAAATTCAGTTTTCTCTGTTTTTCAGGGCAGGGCGGTCATGCATATCTTAAAGAATGGTTGTGGTGGGCTGGTTTACTATCAAGTAAGTGATACGCTTTGTGTTATTGTAATATTTTTGATCACATTTCCAAATCTGTAGATATATATATATATATAGTTAAAAAAAACATTTCAGCAGATTGGCTTCAGTGACATGGGTCAGTGTGTTGGTACTCAGTTTTGTTGCAGTGTTTGGCAAACCTCAAACAGTATTACATTGTTTCCCCACGTCTGGCTCTATTGTGACATGTTCTGACTGTATGCTAACGTTTTGTTTTTTTGGTCGGTTTTTTCCAGTGGGTGCTGGGGAAGCAGCCAACTTCGCAGCATATGCTTTTGCCCCTGCCACCCTGGTCACGCCCCTGGGAGCCCTCAGCGTGCTCGTCAGGTATAGACGCCTCATCACGTGCACTCGACACCGAAACGTTTTATCAAAAACATCGTGCAGCTGAAACTGGAACAAATGGCTCTTTCTTGTTTTTCAGTACGTTCTTGAGTAAATGACCTGAAGTAACACATAGTGT